ATTAGGGAAAAAAGTTAATCCCTTGATTCGGCCAGACCTATTATTATATTATTGACTTATTGAAAAAGACTTGAGTGCCCTTCTTTAAGTAAGAGGCACTCGAMCTAACATAAMARTACACATCAGCATTCTCAACAAGTACAAAGACTGAAATACCCCTTCACTAACACCACTAACAGTTTGTATTGCTTGTCTTGTGAAAATACTTTATTGATGATTTCAAGAAAATTCTCTGTAATTTTGTTTTTGTTTCACCAAATTTCTCTTCCCCTTAATGTATCATGAAAGAAAGGGGAAAAAGTTCAAGTAATGCTACTTAATTATCATGCATCAATAGATACATGAGAAAAGATGAAAAGAAAATTTAGTCCCAATCCAGTAAATGCTACTCATTTCCATAATTGAAGACCCACCAATTGTATATAAAAAAAGGGAAAAGGAAAAGGATGATAGATTTAGATTTAGTACTTTAGTTGTGACAACTACCTCAATTCTGATACCACATCCTCGTAGGAGGACCACATTTGCAATGTTCTTTCCTTCTGCTACACGTTTTGCATTCACTGGGTGAGAGACCAAAATTCTTGATATCTCCTTGGATAACTCATTGACAACTGCAGCTGTGTGCTTTGCTTCATTAGAATCATCAAGAGCCTCAGCTTTCAAAAGTAATCGATTATCCTTTAAAGGATCTGTCCCTGATATATTTCCACTCAAATTTGGCCCTTTCACAACAACTCCACATCTGTGTTCTGTTGCATATCTTCAGAAGATCATACTATGTTAAACTTCTTTGTTTACTTAATGAAATTATCAACATTAAGTAAGCATATATAAAATTAGTTGAATATCTTTTTCTATTTGAAAATAAGTTGCAGGAAACTAGTCAGGCTTGATAACTGGTATTCAAGGCTGGAGATTATATAGTAATATAGATACTTGTGTTATGGAACCTTCAGTAGTTCTTGGAAAGAAAGGAAAAAAAAAACAAAAAAAAAACAGGGTCTTTCTTTCCTCCTTTAAATTTATTTTCTGCCAAGTTAGAATTTTCCACACCTGACTTTGACTTCATATTCGGGAAAAGATGGCAGCTTCATTCCATCCAAAGCAGCACAAAGGATGGGCCCCTCTTCCTCAAAGTGCCTGTCAGCTCTCCTGCTGGTGACTATTCCAGTTTCCTCATCCAGGGTTGCAAAGTTTGACTGGATATCAAAATGATATTGCATCAGCAACTGAAATAGCAACATTGGAGAAAAGAAAAGGGAGAATGGAAAGCTAAATGATTCAAAATGTTCCCACACCATGTGAATATAGAAGTCATTATGATGAAAAGTCAAACAAGATGGAGTGAAAACTTCAGTTTTTCTGGTAAAATTGAGGCTAGCCAATTAATTGTGGTTTAGTTCAAAGGCCAACAAGTTTAATATCATTTTTGTATGGACTATGGTAGAAAGGATAATTCATGGGTTTGCAAAGTGGTATTATTAGTTTCTTTTTCTTTATTAGCCTATAGAATAAATCATTCATGGCTAAAATTTAACAATTCACTCACTTTTATGTTTTATTATATCTTGTTTTTATCCCTTGAAAGAGTGGAATGGTGAAACAAGACTTATGTAGCCAATCCGTATAGTTGGGAAAACACTTTGTTGAGTGTTCTTTTTTCTTTTAAATCCCCTCATCTGTTACATGCAATAAAACACTAACTAAGAATTGATGCAAATAGATTCTTATTTAATACTTAACAAATAAATGATTAAAATCAAGATTTTTTTTCTTCAAATAAATTCTTTGGATATTGGTTTTGTTGGATATTCCTTTTTAAGGTACAAAGTGAGAAAGAAAGCATGAGTGTCAAAATGTAAGGACTGATTAACTTTCACTCAGAACCTGTCCAACACTGCAGCCCAGACCAGAGCATTGATTTTTGAGGGGGAGATTGGGTTCCAAATTTTGGATGCAGGCACATCAGCTATATTTATATCTGAAAGTTTACTGACAAAAGATCTGACTGAAAAATGCCATCTGCAATCCAATTCCAGCTCCAACTGTCTTCAAAGTTCAGGTCCAATGTCTAACTAGAGAGCAGTTCAAGCAAGTCAACAACCTCACCAATTTCCCAATCTTGGAAGTGTCTTTGGAAGGAGTGGCACCAGGAAACAGAGTGTAGAGAGACTAGGCCGAATGGACCCTAATATTTCTTTTATGTTTAAGTAATGTTATAACTGTTTTATGTGTTAATGGGCCTGTTAACATCTTTTTAAGTTTTCTTAAGTTACTGCTTTGCTGGCCGCCCACTTAAAGGGCAGACTCGTAATTAGCATGATTAATTAAGTTTAATAAAAGATTAGTGAAGGGAGAGAGAGAACCATCGAACTCTCTTCTTCTTCTCCATCTTCTTCTTCTATTCTATTGTAACCTTTCTTTCTCTCTTACTTTTCCTTATTTCTTTTATCAGTTTTATATCAGATTTGAAGGACAGAGTCACATCTCAGAGCTGTCACTTACTTCACAACAGTCAGCCACAGCCACATTCTGATTCTCTGTAATTTGATACAACTGTGGGAATAGTTCTGATAAAGGCCTACTACTACACCATGGATCTTTCCAAAAGTTCAGCCTTTGACCATTGCCCAACTTAGGACTTAGCCCTCTGCTGAAATAAGGTAGAGTATCCATGATTTTCCTCCATATTGAGAAACCTAAGGAAGGCAAATATGAAATGGTTATCCAGTCACCTCTAACTGTACTGTACTTGGCAGCAATTAAGTTTCTCCACCAACTTCCTCTTTCCTTCTCAAATCTCCAAATCCATTTACCCAACAGCGCGTTATTAAAGATCTTCACTCTCCTGATTCCAAGGCCTCCTTTCAGCTTTGGAGCACATACCCGGTTCCAATTAACTAAATGAATCTTTTTTTCCTCCTCTCACACTTTCCACAGAAAATCCCTCTAAGTTTTTCTATCCTTTGGGCCACTATCCCTCTAAGAAGGCAAATTAGAGAGGGAACTTTTTAGAAGGGTGGTTCTACCTCCCAAGGATAGATAATGGCTTTCCAAGAGGCAAGCTTCTTTTCCATGCGCTCCAAAACAGGGTCTCAAACCAAGGAAGAGGTGCATTTGGCTTCCAGGGGGAGACCCAGATAAATAGTTGGCAGAAAGATGACCTGACATGTCAGCATCTCAGCCAGCTCATCTATATTTTCTACATTTCCCACAGGGATTAGTCTGCTCTTTGATCAATTGACTTTCAGCCCCACCACTACTTCAAACAAGCTTAGGACCCCTAACATTAGTTCTATTTGATCTACATCTGCAACAATAAAGCAGAGGGTGCCATCCGCAAACTGCAAAAGTTGTACCCTTTCCCCTCCTGGAGTCACTTCAAACCCTTTCCACATACCCACCTCCCCCACTTGTTAAAAGGAGATTGTTAGGTTACAATCACACAAGGTATGTGATTGCCAATAAGATTTAAAACTCATCAGTAGACAATGATGATTTCCCCTTTACTTGATTTAAGTTATAAGCTACAAGCCTACAACCACACAACTCTAGAACATTACTGCACTATAATAGAACCATGATATTCTTAAACATGACATTATCCTAAAGAAATTCAGCATTATCCATATAAATCATTTCGGTAACAACTTGAAGATACATGGAAATTGGGTCCCAAGTCCCAACCTCAGAATTTTTTACTTAACAAGAGACATTTTTAGAAAAGGATTGGCTCCCTCAGCCTCCTGCCTCCTATAGAATATAAACTACTATCCAGTGGTTATTCCTAAATTTATAGTCAACCTGGGTGCTTGGACCTGTCTTTTTGGATATTTTTCAGCATCTATGCTTGCACTCCTCCTGTCAAAGTTAATTTTAGTATAATAGATAAATTTCACTTATCTGATGAAGGATGTATTACTGTGAATGGAGTCATGTGTAGATACAGGAAGATGAACATTTACTACTGTAAGTTTAGAGTCAACCTAGGTGCTCTGACCTGTCTTTTTGGATATTTTTTCAGCATCTATGTTTGCACTCTTCCTGTCTAAGTAAATTTCAGTACAATAGATAAATTCCACTTATCTGGTGAAGGATATATTATGGGGAAGATGAACATTTAGTACCACCAACATAATAGGTACTATTTTATCACTGTCAACATGGTGAGGTACTACTATTTATTACTGTCAAAATAATATGTATATTTTATTTTTTGAAATATGTGCACAAATACCAATTTGCATATTAACCTCAAATTCTCTTTGTATTGTTACAAAGCAAATCATAAGGAATGCAATATTACATAGTATTTTTCATATTGCATAGTTTTATCCAAAAGGTATTATATGGCATGAATTAAGTCATGAGCCATGATACTAAATTACACTGATCACTGCTACGTGGATACCTGTTTTACCTTATGTGACTTCATATTGTGAAAGACAGAACCATCAACCCAAAATTCTCTCTCTCTCTCTCTCTCTCTCTCTCTCTCTCTCTCTCTCACTCTCACTCTCTAACACAAACTAATACACAAATACAATTGTATGGATAGTTTCCTTTTTCATATTATTTGATCATCAAATGTTGCATAATGTATGTTGATGTACTTAAAAGGGGGAAAAAGGAATACAGTGAAGCATGGAAGATAAATAAAACCTGGAGAGAGAAAAATTCACCTTGAAAGCAATGTCACCAGGTGACATTGCCAATCCAGCACCCATGGACTCAAAAGCACCTCGCCCTCTATAATAAACTCTTGGGTCATACCCCAATAAAGAGAGGTGAGCTGTGTCACTACCGCAAGCCAAACCCACTTCAACAGGGTCCATCAGCCCATTAACTCCAGCAGAAGCAATGGCATTTAAGTTGGGTATTTTGGCCACTTGCAAAGGAGTTCGGTACCCAAATTTTGGAATTGATACATCACCCAGTCCATCAATCAGAACAAATGCCACTCTCCTTTTGGGCTGCTCAGGGTTTCCCATGTTATTTATAATCTTTCTTTCAACTCCTTTTTACTGAAAATGTGATGGAAATAAGCAAAACAACGAACTTTCCTCGGGTTGGTTTCTCAATGGAGCATCATCTAAGCCCTGCTATCAACAATAGTAAGAATAAAAAGACTAAAGTGAACATAATCCTTCCAGATACATAAAAAATTGGGTTTTATATTTTAGTTTAAATTGGAGAGGGTGGGCCTTGGCACAACGGTTGGGTTGCTCCATTTTGACCTGGGTGACCAGGGTCAAACTTGGAAACAGCCTCTCTGTATGTGCAGGGGTAAGGCTGCATACACCTGTCCCTCCCCAGACCCTGCATTGGCAGGAGACTTGTGCACTGGGCTGCCCTTTTATTTTAGTTATAATGGTTTTTGAGTAAAAAAGGAGACAAGAAAAGAAGTCTGATTTCCCATTGATTTCCAAGAGGACCTATTGCTGCAATTCATGGAATTTCCAACAATTAAAATGAATTCAGAATAAAAAGAGCAGAAACAGAAAACTGGGAGAAAACACTGTGAATGCAAAAATTAATGCCATATGAGGCTAAGAAGCCCAGATATGCATACCAACACAGAGTTCACTAAACTGACAATGTTTTTCTAAAGTTCAAACAATTTGCTTATCTAGTTCATATAAACATAGAGTTCACTAAACTTACAATGTTTTCCTAAACTTCAAACAATTTTCTTATCTAGTTCATATAAACATATAGTTGACTAAACTTCAAACAATGTTTTCCTAAACATTCATGCTGTAAATTTAAACACCAATCATATTACAAACTGTAAATTTAAATGATTGACAACAAAACAGATGTCTTTGTGTCAGGAAATATTTCTTTGGCGACCTTTAAACCTCTTTAGAGGTTCATATTCACCAGAAGAGAAAAGGATAGTATTAGAAACTCAAAAACTCTAGCAATTAGATCAATGGAAGTGAATAGAATCAATAGATGTATTAACCACACAGGACCAACAATGTAAAGAAGTGGACATAACAAGGTTCAGAAAGCCTTACTAACATAAGCTGTCCTTTTGAACTACCTAATCAGTTACAATCAAGGAAAAGCATCTTTTAAAGGTAGGCTAATAATAAGTCAATAACTACCAGTGAACTTTTCTTCAATTTTTTCAGGTAGTGGGCATATCCTCAATAAAGTTCAAATATAATTATTTTGGGCATAGGAATTTCCATATCTTAAGCCTCTTAAATTGTATTATTTGTCAAGGCTGTAAAGAAAGTTAAGAAAATGAGGAGGCTGCCTTGGTACATTAAACCTACTTCTACTGTTTACTAAATAAGTACATTAAATAAATATTCCATTGGCAAAATTACTTCAATTTTGAAAGAAACTTGAAAGTGTAATGAGGAGACTGCTTTGGTACATTAACAAGAAATAGGCTTGCAGGGGAACTCAGGTTGTATTCAGTTCAAGTTCAGCAAACTAAAGCTTGGAAGATAATCCTTTTTCTTTTGGACAGATATCCATGGATAAGTCCATTCCTGAATACAAGTCTTAGATTCCTCCTAGTTAGAAGAACTAATATTTTTTAATGCTCAGACACATCCATAAGCAACTCATACAGGGAAAAAGACATCTCTTTTATGGCACGAAAATTGCAAAAACAGTGTAGGTAGGTAAGCTTAAGGAAGAGACAGAGCTAATAACATATACCCAGTTATAAGTAGAACATCCACCAAATATACATTTCTTCATTGCAACGATATGGCATTTAACCAGAAAACTAGACAGTGGTAAACTGCATAGTTGACATTCCACTGGAACAATTTGTTCAGAAGACAACGAGAACAAGGATTTGGTAATGCAGTCTAGGTTTTTGTTTCTATCTTACCTATGAAAAATTAAAAGGTCGTCTATACAGTAAAATGTATGTCGCCCACAGCAATACTTTTTAAAACAAGAAAGTCTAATCATCTTGAGAATGGCAGAAAAAAAAAATAACAATGACAGGAAAAAGAGTTGAATAAGCATGAAATCTCAGTAACAGAATTTTTTTTATTATAATAATCAGACTCCATCCCCTCAATCTCTGTAATAAAATAAAATTACAGAAGAAGATGTTCACGTCATAAGGATATTCCATCATTCCATGGGCAAGAAAAAAAGACGAAATCACATAAGTCCCAAAAATAAAATAAAAATAAATATAGGCAAACATGTATTCTATTCTGCATTCCTAGTTGAGGCGATTAGAAAAGGATTTCAGAAAATATAAAACAAGGGTTCATCATAATATGGTATGACAGAGATCGGCTCAACTGCTACTGCCGTAGCATGTTAGAAACCCCTGACCGCCGCTGCAAGTCCTCTTGATAAATAGAGGTTATGCAAACCGCCGTAGATGAAGCTCACTGCCGTCGCCGGTCGCCGTGAATCGCCATCGATCGTGGCTGCCGCAGGTCGTCAGTCGGGGTACGAGGGCTGAGAGGAGGGAAGGGTTAGAACGAAAATGAAATTCATAACCCGCGAATGAAATTCGTAAGAGCTGGGAATCCGAGGGAAATGGAGTCTTTTTCTTGTTTTTATTATTATTTTTTTTAAATTAGCGAAAATGAAATTCGTAACCCGCGAACCGCTGCCCGAGTCGAACGGTTTACGGTTCGACTTCCCGGGTCAGCGGTTTTCTGACCTTTTCAACGGTTTTTTAGGATTTAACGATTTACAGTATTCCGGACCGGGGGGCTGAACGGTTACCGGTTTTTCCGGTCCGGTTCAGATTAAACAGACAAATACGATTTATCTTAGCTTTGATCTTAGGCCATTCGGAAACTTTCCAACAAGATTTGCAGAGGATATGTGGTACGTGCGGTACGTTTGCGACGGAAGGGAGCCTTTGCTCAGTAAACGGTTCCTACTTCACATGTTATATTAGTCGTTGATTACACTGACTGTCAAAGTGAAGTTGATCATTCGACTTATCTAATAAATTGGGCTTTTATAGATGTCCTTGATGAGACGATCATGGCATTTCAGCATACGTGTGAGCCTTACGGGCTGAGACTTGTCTCCATTACGCGCCATGTGTTCCTTAACACACACACACAGATTCTCTCTCTACTTGTGAGCTCGTGAGCTTTACTCGTGTCTATAAAATTTTGGTCAGACGACACCATTCCTGCACCAAAGGGGTGAGAAAGACACACAACATCATTTCTCCTTCGATTTGGAGTTTTGGAGTTTAATAGCTACCCCCAAAACCCAGAAAAAGCAGCAAAAAGAGAGAAGCAATGAGGGCGATCATATCACGCTTGCTTCATACAGAATCATCTCTCCCAAGGCTCTAGTAAGTTCGTATTTCGATTTTTTTTCATTAATTATTTCGAGATTTGATGACAATATTTAATTACTCATTTTAGTTTTCAATGAATTTATTGAAACAATTCCATCTTATTTTTGCCGAAGTTGCACTTGTTTTTAACTAATTTTCTTAATTTTGACACGGGTACGTTTGTTTGGAACCTTTTCCGAAAGTTTGTTGTTTCGTGCACTCGTTCTGCATTGATAGCTAAATTGGGTTGAGGAGGGAAATCTGGAAAACGGTGGAACAGAAACCAGTTTATAAAATTTGGAAACTGGATCCTGTTGAATTTGTTAGCTTGTAATATCAACAGTTTTGTAACGTTGTTACCCTCACTGTTGCTTATTTTTTGTAATTGCTAAGGTCTAGGGAAAGTTTCATTTTTGGTGTTCCTTGTGCTAGTCGAAATTCTAGTTTCGTCGCTGAAATTATACTAGGAGAACCGTGTCCTTGAACTGGCAAAATTTCTTTAAAGTACTTGACATCTGGAGATCAATAACTTCATCATACTTTTACTTTCCTTAATCCTTCCTCCCTAGCTGTTCTTTGTTATTTTGATTTGACAATCGGTTTTATGTAGTTTCGAAAAACAAACAATGACAAACCAGAGATGACTATGATAGAAAAGCAAAAGAAATACTAAAATGAATAATTAAACTAAAATGAGTTTAATTAAAGAAAATGTAATGGGATCTCATTAAAGAAGCAAAGCAAAAGAAATACTATGATAGAAAATGTAATGGGATCTCATTAAAGAAGCAAATCAGTTGGCGTTGCCATACTTTCCGAAGTCTGGGATAACGTAGAGCATCAACCTCAATAACCTCTATGCTTCCATTTGTCATAAATTGGCACTTGAACCTTAAGGTAATCCCTACTGAACTTTGTTATATTTTGCCTGCAATTTGACTTAGAGCTTAGACTATATGGGTACTGCTGCAAGACTAAAAACTTTGGCAAGTAATGTTAGAAAAGGGGGTGGGGACAAAAGCTACAGTTTGAAAATATTTCTAAATATTTTCTACTTGTACTGCTTTTGAAGATTTTGTAGACTTGATTTATTGAACACTCATCAATTTCCCTGTTGCTGCTGAAACAGTACAGTGGCTTTTTCCAGAAATGGGAGGCTATTATCAACAGACTCCAACAAGGTAGATGAGCCCTTAAAAGTTCAGGAAGCAGAAACAGTAGATGTGCCGCCACCTCCTACAGAGAAAGTATTTAGCTAGCAGTCTGGACTAAGATTATCCTTATGGTTCAATTTTTTTTTCTTTATATTTTTAGACCTAATGTGAGCCTCTGAAGTCTATATAACTGACGTAATTGCTTTTGATTCAGTTACTTGTGTTGGGTGGCAATGGATTTGTTGGCTCACATGTTTGCCAAGAAGCTTTGAATCGTGGTTTGTCTGTCTCTAGCCTTAGCAGGTAGTGTTTTTTATAATTGTTGGCAAATTTCTTAAAATACCCCTACTGTTTAGCTAACTGTACCCTTACTGTTTAACTATTGTCTTGCACTACCCCTACTGTTTCTGACAATTGACTAGCTCTACCCTTACCTGTACACACGTGACACCACGTGACATATAATTTTTTTAAAACCCAATTTTACCCTTACCTGTACACACTGTCTAGCCGGTCGCCGATGTGGGCCCTGTTCATTGGCAGCAACTGAATCACATGTTCCTCCTGCTTTTGCTTCTGATCTGCATTTCCATCCTCTCTTCACTTCGTCCATTTTTATCTTTTGACAAAAAGTGAACCAAGAGCTGAAACTCTAGGAAATTTGTTCGTCCCATCACTAGTAGCAGTGATGCTGTCATATCTCTTAAGGATGAACATGACCGCTCCTGCTTGCTGATGATAGAAAAGTTAATAACTGATTCCACCTCCGGCGATGGCAGTTCCTATCTCCTTTCATCCTTGTCATCTTCATTATGATGATCATTGGTAGAGGAAGGCTGCAGTTCATGCCAGCAAACTAGGCAAGAATTGTGAATTCGCAACCACCGCATAGACAGAGATTGTGAAAGTAGGCGGGGACAGTGACAATGGCGGTGTTGGTCACCAGGGCTGGCAATAACCTTGAAGTGCCACAATTTAATATCACTCTAAACAGAAGCATCATTGAATCTTCTACCGATCAAATGCTTTGCATCTCCGATCAAGGACAAGATACCCACTCATTTCGCCCTAAATTGATTCCAATTTTAAACTCTACATCTGATTTTTCTTGAATCACTCAGCTCACAAACTACAAACCCTAAATCTTGATCTCACGCTGCATGTGACTCACTATTCGTGTCTCTGCAACTGCAAGCGAACCGACGATAGAATCTTGATAGTTGTTTTCCCCTCTCTCTCTCTCTCTCTCTAGAGCGGTGGAGGACTTCTATGTCAAGCTTCGGGTTGGCAAGTCCCAGACCAGAGTCATTAATAAAGCCCTAAACCATGTCTGGAATGAGGAGTTCGTATTCAATGTCCTTGACATGGATGAAGAGATTATTGTCTCCATCTTACACCCTAACGACTACCATGGCTTCTTCAATGTCTCTCACAATTTAATTGGTCATGTTCGGATTCCGCTTTAGTCCATCTTCGCCGAGGAGAAGAACACCGTACCTCCAAATTTCCGGCGATTAAAATTACCAGACCTCTTTGCTTGAAATTTGTTTTTTGTTTTAATTTATAATTTAAAAACACAATAAGAAGGTTTTTTTGTTTTAATTTATAATTTAAAAACACAGTAAGAAGGATGACGAAGGAAGATGTACGCGGTAGGTTACAGCAATCCGGCCATGTAATCTCACCAACTTCAACCTCTCCCAAACGTTAAACCCTAGAAAGTCGAAGCCAACAAACACACTGGAGATTATAGAGTAGAGCACCGTCATCCTTTGCACTCGTCGGAGAGGATGAGGAAGGGAGATCTATGGAGGAAAAGCATCAGGATTAAAGGGGTGAACATTAACCTTTAATCCTCTACGGAGGTAATTGCTGTTCCTCTCCTCTGCTATCTTCACTCTGTTCTTCGTCGAAGACAATGATGGTTCAACAGGTGATGAGGATCTGGTTACAGTGGCAATGATACACATGGAACCAGAAAGGAGGTGCCATTGTTTGAGGAAAGATGGATGGGATTTAATGGAAGGGTAAAACTGACTTTTCATATTTTCTGTTAGAATTTAATGGCAATGACAATTGTCAGAAACAGTAGGGGTGGTGCAAGACAATAGTTAAACAGTAAGGGTACAGTTTGTCAATTAGCTAAACAGTAGGGGTAGTTTAAGAAATTTTCCCTTGCTTTTATTTCCATTGAGGGCTTGGGTGCTGATTAAGTCAGAAGATCTAAAATGGTCATTTCTTCTTTTTCTTTTTATTATTTTTCGTTTGTATTATGTTCTTGCAAGTTTGTAAAAGCATAAATCTTCATTTGGTGCTCCTTCGATGTTTAGACATGTACTGGGAAAACATGATCAATTGCAAGTAATGTAATTTTATTCAGTTGGGAAAGAAGTACCACTAAAACTTTAGCAGACTCCCTTGCTAGAGAAGGGATGAATAGGGAGCTCTTTTGGGGGCTTTCAGTCTAGGAGTAGGCATAGTGCTTTGGTATTTTTGGGGAGTAAGTGGGACAGCTCAATCAGATGTTAAAAATTTATGGCTAATGGCTCTGTTTTTGCTGTATTCTCTTTGGTTAAGCTGGTTTTGATAAAGTCTGTTCTGTTCTTTTAATAATAAAAAATAATGAAAAGGAAGAAAATTAGAAGAAAAGAAGAATATTGAAAAACTTCTCACTCTACCAAATGTCTCACTAAAAGGAACTATACATAAAATACAAGACTCCCACTAGATTAATTTTACAGCAAAAAACACATTATGAAAGTCTTTTTCAAGTCATATACGTCACTCCTAAGATTTTTTTTTATTTAGATTTCTTTCTGAATTAAGGAAAAATCATGTTATTCTTAATTTCCTTTCAACAATTTTTGGTTTCAGGTCAGGGAGGTCATCTGTACATGATTCTTGGGCTAACAGTGTAGTCTGGCATCAAGGTCTAGAATTGGTTTAATACTTTATGCTTATTTAGCATAAAATTTGTGAAATGTAAGATGAAATATTTTTCCTTATTCCCTTCTCTTTCAGGAAACCTTCTTTCATCTGATTCATTAAAGGATTCATTGAATGGAGTGACTGCTGTGGTATGTGAACTCTTCTTATATCCTTTCTATTGTCCAGGAGGTCTTTTATTCAATCTTAGTCTTGTATTCTTTCTATATCCAATCAATAGTCAAAGGCTTATATATATTCTTTAGAAGTACTTTTTATCAATCATTTATGCTTGACTTTTATGTCACACGAGTTTCATCTACATGCTTTAGAGTTTCTTTTCTTTCTTTTTCCTTTTTTTTCTGGTTTATGATATATGGGTGGAGGGAAGGTTTTGTGGAGATTGAGTTTGTGAGGTAGGAAATCCATATATCAACAATATTGCCTTCTTTTAATTTATACCTGGTCTTGGTACTTGATGCAGACAAGATGGCTTTATTTGTACTTTATGTGAACATGATTGTTTCAAGAACAACTTATCTATATATTTTGTCCTTTATTTCTGGTAGTGCTCTATTGAAGCCCTTATTGATTAGACAAAAAGCTATATGCCCTCCCCTATTGTAATCATACATTTTTTTAGTTAGTATGAACCACCATCTTGACAGTGTAAAGCATTAAACTTTTCCAGGATTTAGCTAGACAAGTGACTTAAGTTTGGTAAGTTTTTTGAAATTGTATCAGAGATATGTACTCTCCTTCACTGCTTTTAAGTTACAAATGCACGACATGTTGGTTTTAGGAACAAATTTCTTCTATTAATAGTAATCTCAAAATGAGTTGTATAGGTTCTTGTACCCCATGGATTTTAGTTCTTTGTTCATTTTAGTTTCTCTTTTTTATGCTAACCTTGTATTCTATGTCCTGAGTTCTTGAAGTAGTGATTTTTATTAAGAACCAAGTATTTTACTTCTTTCTATTTTACATTTTTTTAGTCTGTAGCATATATTGATATATTTTTTTATTGAATGTGACTTTTGTAGATTTCATGTGTTGGAGGTTTTGGCTCAAATTCATACATGTACAAAATCAATGGGACTGCAAACATCAACGCAATTAGATCTGCTGCAGAACAAGGTAAATATGCTTCATGACTGCATGTAAAATGCCTGGGTTACTGATATAGACCTAATCATGGGCCAGGCTTTGGGCTTGGATTTACACTGTTTCAGGCTTGAACTTCGGGCCAGGACCATTCAAATTTTGTCCAAAGCCAAGTCTGAGCCTGACCCATGAACAGGTCTACTAGGATATATACACAATTGCTGCACATATCATATGGAACCAGAAAAGAATGCAAAGAATCTCCACGAAAGAGCATGCACATGGCCCAAGTTAACAGGAAATTAAACTGTGGAAATCCCATTGGAAGGGAAATCTTAGTAACAAATATCCTTTAGAATTCCTTCCAATAGACTTATCATCATTTTTTTCTAAAAAGATCCCTCCGTTATATGAACAGGAATAATAAAACTCATTTTCTATGTATCACTTTGTAGCCAAGATGAATTCATCAACATACACTGCCACTGAAAGATAAATGGCAAAAGGAGGTATCCTTGAAACAAAGCCATTATCCCATTTATTTATGAACTGAATGACCTTTTGCAGGTACATTGTGAGATCCCAAAGAAAAAGAAACTAATGAAACTTTGCCTGCAATGTAAAGTTAGTTTGGACTCCTTGGACTGCCTAAATGTAAAGTTAGTTTGGATTCCTAGGGAACACAATCATACAGCAGATGGCTTAGCTAAATGTGGTGTATTCTTAGAGCAGCTATATAGCGACAAGCTTCCTCCATTGTAGTTTGTAGGGGTCCTTCCCCTGCGTTGTACATCTTCTCATGTACCTCTTTTTTTTTATTAATGAATCTTGGTTAACTTTTCTCAAAAAAAAAATAAAAAAGAAAAAAAAGAAACTTTAAACAGCCTAACCAACTAAACAGGAAAAATCTATGGACTTGTAAACTGGTTTGTCAAAAGCTCGTGGCCTGAGAGGGTGATCCTACCCCTGAATAAATAAATAATTTGCACACCATCAGCATCAATCATTCCATTTGGTCTCTAGTTAGTTTTGTTATAAGTCATTGCTCTCTGTTTCTTGTTATTCATTTTTTAGTCACTAACAGGTGATAATTTTATTGATTATAAAATCCATAAACAAAATATACAAATAATACAGATTTATGTATGAATCCCATTGAAGATTTGGAACTAGTAAGCATAATGCTGCTTCCTCTCACTGCTTTAACTAGAGCCCCAAATAAATTAAACAATCAAAGTTTGTGTCATTCTAATGGATACCCACATATGCAGTGATTGCCTACCAACTCCCTCATGGGCTAGGGAGTCAGCGAATGAATTATCTCCAGATAATGAAAGTTCTTTTATTAAACTGGGAATAAACCCTCTAGGTCTATGGTTCAGTCTCTTTAAAGGGAAATGAAACTAACAGTTATATACATATCAGTTTGTTGGTTCATGGTATGCCCATGTGTTGAAGATGTGCATCAATCTTGGAAAGGTCAGTTAATTTTCTAAGCGGACCAATAAAACACTGTTAGATGAAGTTGACAATTTGACATTCACATTTGAGGATTCTCATAACTTTATAGTGATCAAGTTTTAAAGCGAAATAGAACTGATAATTTATATACGTTTCAGTCTATTAGTTGGTGACTCTGTCCATGTATTGATTATGTGCATCAGTTCTGGAAAGGCTAGTCTACTTTCCAAGTGGCAAGCAGACTGACAATACATAGTTAGATGAAGTTGACCTTCACAAGGAAAGTCTCACAACTCCACAATGCTTGCTGCATTGAAATTTGGGTGGGTAATTAGATAAGACAGATGAACTCTGTGTTAGAATATCATAAGCTGGCTGAATCGAGAGGATAAGGTTCTGTGTTTTTTCAGGAATGAGTTTAAAAAATTCAAATTATTTTCAAAAGACATGCTGGTGGTTATGCAGTGGGTTCCTAGATCAGAAAACTGCATTGCTGATCATTTAGCCAAGCGAGGGGTTAATAGAGGGTATTAATATTGCTTTTGGGCTTCTTTGTAATATAAGAAAATTTTCTGATGTTGTTCTAAGATTTTTGGGGTAGCCAAGGCTACTCAAGATGTTGTAAATTATTCTGCTAATTAATAAAACCATGTTTTCAGTTGCTGATTAAAAAAAAAAAGTGTGTTAGAGTTCGTATCTTCTACTATTTGCTTCTTTGTCCCTGATAATATTCTATTACTTGTTCTATGACACTCTGATCCTTAAGTTGTTGTTGGTAAGTGAAAAATGTATGGGAGTATATTTCATTACTGAACCCCTCCAAGAACTCATTTTAACTACTCCCTCTCATTTATATTCTCCTTTGACACTTCAGCTGGAATATTTGTTAATTAGATGTCTTTTGTTTGTTTATGTCTATTCTCCTTTGACACTTTAGCTGGGATACATTTGATGCAATGGCTTCTGAGCAGTGTTGCATGGAGTCTCCTAAATTCATGAATTATTTATGTTGAGCACATTACTGATTCTAAAACTCCATGGATTTTTTAGTGGAGCTTATAATTTATTTTCATTAATGAATGCCAATTTTCCTATAAAGTGTTATTTAGTAACAAAGGCAACTTTTTTTTTATAGATGTGTAATGTTGGAGTTCCAAAACTATGACACATTTTAATAGTACATACTTTTCTGTAGACATGTTTAAAAGTCCATATTTTTTCTTCTTTCTGAACCAGACTATTTGACATGTATCAGATTCCAATTCCCATGTCAGTGTCCATGCAACACTGCTTGTGAGATCACTCCATGTCAGTGTAATAAAGACAACATTTTAGGGTCTGTTTGGTTTGCCATCGGAGTCGGAATCGGAATCAGAATCAAAATCCTCTGGAATCGTAATCAGAATGGTCCATTCCCATAGTCTGTTTTGTTCACAGGAATGGGAATGGGAATTGAAACCAGCAGGAATGGGATTTCGTTCCCAAGGGAGGGGCAGGGAATGGCCATTCTATCAAATGGGGGAATGCCATTCCAGCAGGAATGGGAATGGGATTCCGATTCCATCCAACCAAACAGTTGGAACCGGAATAGCCCATTCCGATTCCGATTCCAGACCCCTATTTCCACAAACCAAATGGGGCCTTAGAGTTTTTTTAGGCGTGTAATGTTGAGCTCAAAAACTATGATACAATTTAATAGTGTATATTTTTCAGAAGACATGTTTTGCAAGTCCATATTTTTTCTTCTTGCTGAAGCAGACTATTTGACATGTATCAAATTCCAACTCCCTTTCATGGTCTCACCAATGTCGATCTTAAGACAACACCCTGACTGTGACCACCAAGACCAGATCCATAACCACATGCCTGACCATTTATTCTTTTTGAGCAGACTGTATTAAGCAACAGATTGAGCAGTTACATGCTTAAGCCATTGTATGGTAGACATGAAAATAAAACACAAACACAAAGCAGCTATTAATTACATGCATGTTTTTTATATTCAAGTGCTGAGGCTTATCTAATTAGGTGTCTTTATAGAACACTTTGGGAATTTTATGATGTTAATTTCTGTTTGTAGTTTGTAGAATGGTATAGAAGGCTCGCGTTCTTTTAAAGTGCTATTCAGCTTGCTCTAAACTGCTGGATATAATGATTGGCATTTTGTAAGGAGTTCTATGATGTAAAAACCTCAATTTTGTGGAACCAACCTCACTCATTTCCAAGACAAGCTATGAATGGCAGTTGCCTTGACCATATCCTTGTACACATCTGGAATGGATCACAACTGAACTTCTGATCTCTTCAACTGCGCTCATTTTTTCTGTCAATCTTTGTGCATGTGTCTGTATTTACTTTGTAAAAGTAAAAACATGTTGAAACAACCCAAAGCAATTGTTGTAGCTAGTGTTGCATGGACTCAGACATGGAAATCAGAATCTGACGTGTATCTAGGAGTCCTATTTGGTGAATCCAAAATATAAGTAGTATACGATACCTAAAAAAACTGATAATCAACCAACCAGTATCATAAAAGTGGTAACCGATCAACTGGTATTCATCAAAATTCACTGGTGGTGGGGTTCTGATTGTCAAAGTTCTTCTGGTATCATACCTTCCCGGAATATTAAAATTAAAATTTTTAATGTCATTCTTAAAATTAATAGAACTATACAAGCATAACAGCTTAAATAGTTAAACAACAATTTACAATTGAAAAATTAAACTCACAGGCAACAGCCTTTGGCCATTAGCTACGTGGCCATGCTAGTTGTTTTTCATTGTTTTCCTAATTTCTCCAATGAATCATAATTTTATGTGTAAATTGGGATAATACAGATACTGGAATCCCCTATTGGACAGTTTAAATAATTGGACCACTATTACATAGAGGTGTTTAGAGTGAGGATTAGTAAATTGGAGAGTCAATGTGGTGGGCATTCTGGTAAATTTGTCTGATTTGCACTGTAGCTGAGTCCGACATATTTTAGAGATTCAGACATGAGTTGACCCATTGACATGTGTTGATTCTCAAGCCCCCTCCAAAGGTGGAGTGTCCACAATGCTAATTGTTGGTGAGCCTTAATTGCCTTGGGTCACTTTATCACCTTAATAATCTTTAGTTTATTTTGTAACTTATGTTGATACTTGTTCATTTTTTAAGAACTTGTATATTTGTAAACAGTTAGTTTGAGGGTGGGGAACTCCACCAGAAGACTGTTGATTGTTACTGAAAATGAAAGATATGATTAGAATGACATGTTTTTTATGTTAAAAAAGTAATTTTTTATTTCCATTTTCTGTAGCAGCCTTTTCTCATGATTATTTTCTTTCTTCAATTATCCATCCCTATAGATGGAGAATTTCAAACATAGCTGTGTTGACTGGGTTTTCAATACCATTTTGCAGGTGTGAAAAGATTTGTATATATTTCTGCTGCTGACTTTGGTTTGGTAAATTATCTACTTCAAGGATACTACGAGGGGAAGGTACTTTCCATGGAAAAAATATTACAGTTTTTTCATAGTATATATGAATTATTAATCCTGAAAAGTCTGGAGATAACTGATAAAATTAGGATGTATGTAAAGAAGATTAGTAATGTATCATGTTCCCTGCACAACTTGCAGAAATCAAGAAAAACCACCAAAATTATTTGCTCTAAGAATCTTATACTCTTATAGTGAATTGTAGAAGGAAGTTTTTTCTTTTTAGTTATTTCTTAATATTTCTCCTATCTTCATTGGGCTTTTTTTTGGTCCAACTTATAGTTGAAGGCGCTTTAGCACTTAGGTTGATATATGCATGTATTTACAGATTTTTTTTTCATATCCTGTAGCTGTACAAATTGGTTGGTGCTCAAATTTCTGCACTATTTGTTTATTGAGATATTTATAATAACCTTTCAATTAAAATAGCTTTTCTGTATTCTGGTAATGGCTGAATATTATCCATATCCCTTTTTATTAAAAATTACCATGTCATTGTTATGATGCAGAGAGCTGCTGAAACAGAGTTATTGACGAGATTCCCATATGGAGGTGAGTTTTCTTATTCTTCCACTGCTATTCTTTTATAGTTTGTAAGTATATTACAATGTATTGTTCAAATTTTTGTGAAATTTCTCTTGGGACATATCATGGTACAAATAATTGTCTTCATTAATAGGGACAGCCCGCTTCATAGAAGAAAGATAGGAAGGAAGGAAGGATGATTGGCAAGCAATATAAGAACCCAATATTAAAACTTTGAGTTGATTCCCGGTTCCTACTTCTAAAATTCAAAATGGCAAAACTGTTGACCTCCCCTCTATTATTTGCACTTCTCTCTAACTCTATAAAAATGAATTTACCAATATAGAAAGGGTGACCACCCCTCAACTGAAGCTATGAATGTGCCTAGGTGAGTGGTTCAATCAACACACCTATCCAAACCTGAGGCAAGTAGGTCAAGGCAATTGTATAGCATCTGACCTTGCCTGACCTCATTATCCACGTAAGCAAGATGCTTGCCTTTAATAGCATTGCTCTTGAATCAGCATGTCAATCAAGTTCTACCATCAACATAACTATATAGTAGTCATGCTCTAGATATAATCACATTCCATTAAGAGTAAAAAGCAATCTGCTATTCAAATTCAAAATCTGCAGTTTGTGGTCACCTTGTTGACCCTACATTTGGTTACCGACTTCTAGTTCAGGGACATGCCGATATTTCTAATATCTTTCTAAAATGGAAGCCTTTAGAACAAGCATTGAAACTCTTAAAAGGATTATATCCAGATTGTGCAGTAACAAGCTTATTGCCTTATTGGGTAGGTAATTGAAGTTTTGATGGTACCAAAATTGATGTGTTTTTTATTTAGAAAACCAAGGCCAAGGGTAACTGATGAACTTGAGGATTTCAATTTTTTCTGATAAATTTGAGGTTTTCAATTTTGGATATGGTTAAGTTTGTTTAGTTTGCCAACCAGGGACTGCCTATTGGTACCTTCCCTAGCTAAAGAATCTGCAATGAAGTTAGCAGATCCAGGTATCAAACATATTTCAGCCTGCATGGCCACTGTTAGTGATCTGGCTTTTCTAAGCCTCCAGGGTCCCACTTGATTTCTTAGCAACACAGAAATTGAGACCATGTTTACATATTAAAAAAAAAATTCATTTTCTTTTTCAGGTGTGATCCTTAGGCCGGGTTTCATACATGGGACTCGCCAAGTTGGGAGCATGAAGTTACCTCTAGGTGTTATCGGGGCTCCATTGGAGATGGTAAAATCTTTCTGCCTCCATATTACTATTCTATCCATGTAGTTTTATGTTAACAAAGAGTCAGAATCCTATAGTGTATTCCACTCTCGCTGAAAGAAAGATTGAAGAAGTTGACCAAGTGATGTAGTTTCACCTATCACAGCATTAGATTTAAAGGAATATTGGCCCATTACTTGCATGCATCATCCACCATTTACTCAGACTCAGAGGGGGAACCCACAGTTTGGTGAGCAGCCCACCTCAGCCCTTATGCATAATAACTTGATTCATATTCAATTATTGCAGATTCTGCAACATGCAAAACCACTCGACCGAGTGCCACTTGTTGGGCCACTTTTTATACCTCCTGTTAATGTTACTTCAGTGGCCAAAGTTGCTGTGAGAGCTGCGACAGATCCTGTGTTCCCTCCTGGTATCATAGACGTTTATGGTATACAACGCTACAGTCAGCAAAAGTGAATATAAATTTTTCATGTCCTTTTTTTTTTCTTTTTTCTATCCTTCAGTGTAGAAGAAAGATTTAAACCCCATCCCCCATTTGGCAAAATAATGATGGCAAGAGCCTAAACTCAGAGAAAGTAACACTGTAAGTTTTGGGCATCTTATAGATTGAATACCAACTTCTCATTTCATATCTTAACATATTTGAAACAATAAGATCCGAAAACTGTTTATGCTTTTAATGTGTTCTTGGTTGGACTTGGTAACATACATGATTACATGGGTGAGTATTGCTGGGTTGATGGCTTGATACTGAGATAAATAAATGATAGAATAAGGAAAATTAGGGCTATGTCAAGCCTGGAAATTAGGGGGTGCTGTATACCGTGGTTGTGGCTCATTTCGTTTGTTTTTAAAATGCACCATCCATAGAGAAAATGTGTTCTTTTATACTGTAATGCATTTTGGGTTTTGCTAGGGTGGGTTTTAGAACTGAACACATTGCAAAATTTGAATCGCACCAAAATCTCATGTTCTATAACCCACCACACTTTGGGACACTCGTAAAACAATGATTTGGAACACACACCAAAGAAAAATATTTGGTGTGGTGTAGCGTGATTATGGGTAGGAATGTACAGTGATTATTTGGGCCTCCAGTATCAAAGGCCTCTTAACGCGTCACGTCTAGATTAGCTGATACGATATGTATCAGCTCATACATATCGTATCGGTGACCCCCGCTATTTGCCTCTACAGTAACCGTTTCGTTTCGGGGTATGATTTGATTCAGGGGGTAGACAGGTCTTATACCCCCTGAATCTGTTTGAAAAAAGAAAAAAAAAGAACCTCATGTGGAACTTTGCAATGTGGCTCAGCCGCTCAGAGCTTTATAATCAATTTAAGGAAAAACCTGACTTTTGCTATTGAACGTGTGCAGTCAGATATGTCATGTTTTACAAGGTTTTTAAAATTGAATCTGACAACGAACCAGTCTGGTTCTTGGGTCAAATGGTTTGACCATTTGAACCAAATGGATGGCCTGTTCTGATAAAAAATAAAAACAGCCAAAACCAATAGACAGTTTGAAAGGTTTGACTGCTCGGGTCAGTGGTTTGTTGACTAAATTAACGGTTTTGGTGAAATAACGTTTCTGAGATAAAATAGAACTGATCACCTGACCGGTTCCCGGTTTTCCAGTCCAACCATCCAATTGAGTTCGGTTTTGAAAACTATAATGTTTTAAAAGTGTTCACAATCAAGAGCAAACAGGTTTCTGCCTCCTTAGTATTGACACCCGTAGCTAACAAATACCTTCAGAATTTCTGAATTAAAACCTAAACTATGCAATTCCGTTAGAATGTTGTTAATCAATCTTGACTTTGCTCTAAAGCTATTACTTCATCCAATGATGCCGTTTACTAATACGAGAGAATCAGCAAATCTTATAGGTGAAACCCATCGGGGTCCAGATCCAGACAACATGCCACATAAACACCAAATGACAAAGTCAGCAGTATTTTGCGATTAATCCATTTGCAGGAAACACTAAGAACCCGTTTGAAGTGTATTGTGGAAATTGAGATGCGGTGGTTGAGCACCGGTGTTCTGGAGAAGCAATTTAGAAAAGTTTCATATTTTAGCAGTGATTTAGGTGTTTGGAAGGCTCATATTGGCTTTCTATTATTTTTACCAAACACAGCTTACAGCGTTCCCATGTGGGGCCCAGCTCCGAACACCGGAAGTTGCCTCCTGAAAACCTTCCCAAATGGGCACTAAATCTATGCCTCTGGAGTCGGTTTATATTTTATTGGGCTTATTATTGAATTAGTCTATCGGTCAAACTTGAAAAGCATACACGATTACACGAGGGATGGCTTAAGCTGACAGATCATTTCAGCGAGACCAGATATGCTCCTCACACAGGGCGCCTCACGCAGGCCTCACATATATATCATACCATATATTGAGAACATTTCCCGTATTTATAAGTTATTATTCACGAGAGATGTTCCTAATGCACGGTGGATGTGCATATGAGGCACCCCCGTGTGATGAATAGATCACATTCCCATTTTAGCATAAATGCAGATTTGATTCTCACAACCACCCATTTTGGGGAAAAGAGTTATTAATGTGAGGTGTATCATCAAATACCAAAAAAAAAAATACATGAAAAACATTAATTCCTAATTTTAGTATTTTGGGTAAATAAAAACATTTCTAATTTAGGATTATAAATACAAATATATAAAGTGTAAAACCTTGTATTTCATATTATTTTATATATAGTACTCTACTCTTTCCAAGCTAGCCTTACAGATTCAACAATTTCCAGCCACAACTTATTTGAGACTTGGCCTGATGTATGGGAGCTAGACTTGCTTCAGCATCTACCACTTCTGGCATCACTTCTGACTTCATTTTCATTCCAAAAAGTCAAGCTCTTTTAAGTTTTAGAATTTAGAACCAAATATAATGATTCTTTGATATAATTAAATATCATTAATACTTAAAAAGGAACTTTCTTAACTATAAACAACAACATTCCTACATTATTTATAAATAGTTTTCTTGGTTTTATCTCTCCCTGGTTTATACGGCTGTTGCTCTTTGTATAATTCTGAGGATCAGGTCTGTAAATCATGGTTCAGGGTTATTTGCACTCTAGTTCACTTTTGTCTGTATTTGACAATATTACATTTATGCATTGGTAAATAACAGAAAACACATTTTTCAACGCATAATTACATTGATAATAAGATGTAAAAGTACATCGATAAAAAAGAAGTAAATTTGCATTCAAGTGGAATTTTGATAAAAAAATGCATATATTTTATTGGAATTCCGTGTTTGCATTTATTACATCTAAAAGTCTGTTTGGTAAGAAAGTAAATCTGTCAGTGCAAAACTAACCAAACTTTACAATTAATATGAATTGTTTTACACTCTACATATTTGCATTCACACTTATTTGCATCATTTCTAAATGCAGCCCAAGTCCCTAAAAAGGGCAATTGAGAACAAGAAAAAGTATAAAAAAGCAAACAAAATAAATCAACAATTAATAAGAATCACGGTTAATGAAATATTATTTTCATTTGTTCATTCCGGTTGCATCCTTAACAGCATCAACGGCCCCTTGTGTCATGGCCTTTATTTGCTCACCAGCCTGCATCATTGAATGTTAGAATAAAAATGCCAAACAAATAAAATATGAGAAAAAAAAGCAGTTTTTAAAGTACGACACATTTTACTTTGGTGCAGTCTTGTTTGGAGTTGCACCTTAGACTCGGTTTTGAAGAAGTATAAATACAAATATGTTCAGTGCAAAACCTTGTATATCATATTTTTTAACCTTGTATTTGCACTGTGCATATTTGTATTTGAATTTTTCCGGTTCAGCTTGGAAACAGTACAAATACAAATATGTACAGTATAAATGTAGGTTTAGAAATACAATATGTTATACTCTTTTCAAACGGAGTTTTTATGATGCTCAGTTTAGAAAAAGTACAAATAAAATATATATATATATATATATATATATATATATATATAATATTAATACATACAAAATATAAGGCTTTGCATTCTAATATTTGTATTTGTACTATTTGATCCAAACTGATCCTTTATTTAAGTACTACTAGATCAACCCAAAAAATTTAATTAAGCACTGCAAACTGGTATAGAGCTCAGAATTTTTTGGTGTACTGCACTAAGGAGTTGCTAATGGTGTGATTTCCGGGTGGTGGATGAACTGGATTAGCAAGGTGTAATGATAACCTCTTGGCATGATTCCTTTGCAGATTGAGCAATATTTGATGCCTTGTCCATCAGATCGTCCTTCTTAACCTGTAAGAAGAGAGGAAAACCATTAATACTACGTATATTGATCTCATATCACCCTGAACAAAATTAACGTCGTTGAGCGCAAAGAAGCAGGAGGAATCCCTCACCTGAGCCTGGCCCTTGCCCTCGCCAGCTTGGTAACTGAGACTCTGAGAGTTGTCTGCCATCTTTAATTGTTATCTCTTTTGGCTTGAAATTAATACGATCAAAATGATCAGACTGGGTTTGAACTTTGAACTTTTCGATCGTTTTCCTTTGGCGATGGAAGATAAGATTAATTTATAGCTTTTGCCATGAGGACCTTGATCAAGCTTTGCCATTTGGTATCACATGAATTTATGACAAGTGGAACTATTTGGACCAAGCATTAGAAATTTCTGCCTATTGACGAGGAACCACTCTTAATAACTTGTAAAATTCAAGTTCTTGTAATTTTTTAATTATTTCGTATTTTTTCCATCAATATATATGTTCTTTTACAGGTGGCCAATGGGTGCCAAAAAATACAATCTAGTTTTTATTGGATGTCACCTGGCCAGGTATTTATAATACATGGGCCGAGTGCAACATGCAGGTACATCAGTATAGTGGTGCAATTTTTTTTCTCTTGTTAATCTTACAAAAAAGCAGTATATAACTTTCAAAGATTCCTGGGGGATCAGGTGGTTGAGAATAAATCAACCTACTCAACCATGTTGTGTTTATTCTAATGAACACCAATGTATGAGAAACCATCAAAGATCTTGTACTGGGCATTGATGTTGTTTGATTTAAGGTATCTCAAATCAAGATCATAGTCAGATTATTTTTCCAATTGGGTGAAACTGACGTGGGAGGATGAAGTCATGCACTAGAATCTATAATCAAGAAGGAAGTTCAAAGACCCGAGGAATTGTTCCCTGGGTAGGCACTCTGACGCTCAAGTCAATTGAATGAAAGGGTATGAGGCCGGGCCGAGCAGGTAAGAGTAGTGCCGGTTCAAGCTGGTGAAGCAAAGTAGGAGTATAAAGGTGTAAAAGTCCCTTATCTTGACCAGAGGTTACCTATTTATAGCTAGAGGTTCATGTTCTACTCGGATGAGGCTTCCAGGGTTGTCGGGATGAGGTCATCCGTTGAATTCTTCGGGATAACTCCTCTTCCCCAACAGAGTTGAGTTCCCCGTCCATGCAGGACACTCCTTCTTGGTTGTATTTATCTGTCCTACATGGTGCTAATGTGTCTAGAGAGAGAAAATGGCCGTAAAGGTTACCACATGTCTAGAGAGAGAAGGTGGCTGCAAAGGCTACCATGTGACATCCTTGGCTTACTCAACCATAACCCAAATAGACATCAAATTGTGCTCCATGGATAGATTCTTTGCTACTATGACTGT